GTTACTAAACTTACTTTGTAAAAGCTATCTTTGAAATTTTTTAGTACAATTACTAATAATTTTCTTAATTAAAACTTAAAATAACTTTATTTTAATATATCATTGTAAAAATATAAATTTTTTATATTTGATTTGATTTGATTTGATTTGATAAATATTTGATTCAATTTGATTCGATTCGATCAAATTCAAATTGATTCAAATTGATTCGATCAAATATTTGATTGAGTTCAATTCAATTCAATTCAATTTGATTTGAAAAAATTAATTCAAATTCAAATTGCTTAAATATTTGATTCGATTCAATTTTGAGAAACTTAGTTTTAATACAAAATCGAAAACTCTTCAGTAAAAAGGTAAGAAAATTTATTAACAATAGTCTAAAATTAAATTAAATTATTTATTTATATAAAAAAAATTAAAAATTAAATAAAAATTACAATAAAAAATATAAATGAAATCCAACTCTTGATAAAAAAAAGAAATTTTTAAATAAAATAAAATCCAATGATAAAAATAAAGAAATTTTAAAAAAAAAATTAAAAAAATTTAAAACCTCACCCTCTGTTCTGATAAATATAAGAAATTAAAAAAAAAATTAAACACCTTACTCTTCTTATTTTCAACTACTAGTTTAATGTCGGTACATTATGGTTTCTTCTTCAATGATATCTCGTAACTAAAAAATGTAAATATAAATCTAAAAATTCCTAAAATTTTATTAAAAACTATCAATTAATCATTTTTAATAATTATCTGGTCTATCCCAAAACCTAGTTTAGAATAGATTATAAAATCATTTTCCATTATACGATCACCTTTCCCTCTTCTCGCACCATTATGCCAATCACAAAAGTCCTAAAGGATACATATTAATTAATTATACTATTAAGTTATATTTATCAACATATTATTATTTATTTATTTACTTGCCTCATAATCTTTCACCAGATTTCTCCACTTCTGCTCGCATTGGCGAACAAAAAAATCACTATTATATTATTGATTTATTCTTCTTATGATACTCTGCCAGAATTCTAATTTATTCTCGAAAAAATCATAATAATATTTATAGTTGTGTTTTCTTCTTTCTTTGACTAAATAATTAGTCTCAATATCCTTCCAAATAATTCTTGCAGCAGCTATTTTTTTATTAGGTTTGTAAAAATTAAAAATTTTGATGATTTGATTTAATAAAATGATTAAAGTATTCAAAAATGAAAAATTAAATGATAGCAAAATACTTTCTTTTAAAAATAAATTTCTTTATTATTAAATCAAAAATCTGATTTGATATCTTGTGAAAACTTGAATAATACAATAAATTCACAATTGAAATACTCAAACTCTTTGTATTTGAAATTCTAATTCAGATTTTAAAAACAATTCAACTATTGTATTATTTATAAAATTAGATTAACACAAATATAACTTAAATAAAATTTTTAATACAGTAGATTATACAATTATAGACAATATCAATTCATTACCAGAGTGATAAATATAAATTATCATAAAAAACAACGCCACAATTTGATAAAAAACAATAGGAAATTTCAACACAAGTTCAATAAAAATTCATTACAAATCAATTAAAAATTATAAAAAATGATATGAATTTCTCAACATAATTTCAATACAATTTCTACACTATCGCAAGGGGGTGTTATTTAGTCAATGCATTAAATTTATATTCTTATGATACCATTTTATTATATCATTACATTTACTATGTAAAAAAATCCCTCAAATTATTATCATTTTTGCGTTAAAAAAACAATTATTATTAACATTATTATGTTAAAATAAAAAATGGGTCTAAATTATTATTAATGTTAAATAAATTACTATTATTATTCAATTATAGTAATAAACTTATTGAGATTAGTTTGTTTTGCTGAAATAAACTGGTGTTTTAAAGCTTCTTTTTTAAGCTTTTTAATAAGCTTTAATTCTTAATTGTTCACATTGAAAACTTTCTCCTATTGTTCCAAATATAAAATTACTTTATCATAAGCTTCATTAGCTTCATTATGAGTAATTATCAATAAAGGATTCTCTTCTCCTTCATTTTCTTGTTCTTGTTCATTAGGTAAAACTACATTTACAATTTCTTCATCAAATATCATTTCTTCTGTAATCTTGGACTTATTAAATTAAACAAATTTTTCAGCAGTTAAAGGATTAATAAAAACAAATTTATTAATTAAACTTGAATTTCTTCTAATTTCCTTAGACGTTTAAGTTCAAGTTGAAGATTTCATCTTCATCATTATCATCATTGTTATTGGGCAGAATATCTGCTTTCAACCAACAATTTTAAATTGTTTCTTATATTATATTATTTCATACTTGAGAAACATATTTCATGTACTTTTTAATATAAATTTCTATAGGTTCAATATGATAATAATTGAAATAATCAAAAGATTTGATCCAATTTGTAGATAGAGCTTTTGATATTATGCCTAAAACAAGTTAAATTTGAATTAAAGTATAAATAAAGTATAAAATATAAATTGAATATGTTTCTTACCTTAAAATTATTAATAATATCTTAATTATAAAGTTGAAAATGTGCCGTAGTATTTGGATGAAGGTTAAAAATGCCAGCTGAAACTCCCTCAAGATAATTTTGTCATATCCCTTACTATGTTTTTAATATAGTTTCGGCTAATTTCAGGTTTCATCATACCTCTCATTATGTTTTAATATAATTTCAGCTATTTATTAATTGCCTTTTTTGAGTTTCGTCTCTTATCTTTAGTGAAGGTATTTGATATTTGTTAATTGAGTAGTTTTGTATAGAGCATATGTTGGGGCATTATCAACAAGAAGAAGAATATTTCAATTTTGCCTTTTTTATCCTCTTTTTTATTATAAGTAGACCTTCTTTTTGAAATAAATGAATTATATAATTCATTAAAGAATCCTTTCAATAATGGTTCAGTATTTTCAAGCAATGTTTGAAAACTATTTGGACCTAATTCAAGTATTTGATTTTCTGTTTGTCATATAATATTTTAATCATTAACGTAATCTTGTCACCAAATGATAATGGTTTTATATTATTAACAACTACATTATTTTGTATATTAGTATTTCGCATACAATTAGTTGGTAATTTATTATGATCAGATTCAATAATATTAAGATAATGAGAATAGCATAATTGCTTTCCAATTTTTATATAATTATATTGATTAAAGGTCCTTTTTCTTTTGCTTTTTTTTAATGCATTATTTGTAATTCCACGATATTGATCTGATTCTATTTGACAATTATGAATAGAACAAGGGCCAAGATTTTTTCGGGTCATTACATATAAAGTTTTTAAAATTAGTTTTCGGTAAAAATATTTTTTTATTAAAACTTTTCGTGTTATTCTTTAAAAGGTATAATACAGATTGATTTTCTAAATAAAAAACTAAAATATAAAGTCATTTTATTACACAAACGCGTTAACTTTACTACTAGTATATCATATATGCACGTTCTTTTATGATGCATAATACATTTCGCACTTTTTGCTACTAGCTAATCATATCTAGTACATTTAATATACACGTGATGAAAATTTAGTGGTTTTATTTAGTGTAACATCATCATGTAGATCACAAAAATTTACCAATCAAAACAAACTTCCAAAATTCCCATTACCAACCAATATTTACTTATTTATTTTTTGAAATTTTATAAATTCGTTTATTTAGTTTTTATATGTATCACATGTATCACTTGTTTTCTGAGGTTTCTTTATATTTCCGTACAAATTTGAAAAATCTTCTCTACTAAATCCATCAATATTTTCTTGGGAAAAATGTATCACTAATAATACTTTTCTTTCTTAAAAATCTTATTTTCAGCTTTAGTTAGTCCTGCCATATTTAATACGCGTTCTAAAATTTAAACTTGTTTTTTTTTCTCGCGACAAACGACAACACTTATTTATTGTTAAGACCAAAAAAAAAAAAAATGTTTTAGTGTTGAACCTTATTAACGTTTAATATTCTTTATTTTATTAGACAACAACGAGGAAGTGGAAAATATGGGCAAGGATGATATCTATTTATTTGTTTTTATTATTTTTATTATTTTTTTTCTTCGGGTAAGGCGGACGAACTAAGAGGCTGAGTTGGACTTGAGGGTACAAGCTTCACAGGCAAGCCAACTTTTGTTGGGCTTCAAGTAGGCTACCAGTAACCTATTCGAGAGAGTGGGTTTTTTTCGGTAAGGGCCTGCTTTTTCTATAAGAGGAAATTCTATGTATCTACCTTTACGAGTCAAGAAAACAGCGTTCCTTAGGCCTGGCTTCTCGCTTTCGGGATGCATTTCTTAGAGTTACATACCCAAGGCTCTGGCTGCAGTAGATATTTAAGTTTTATATGTAAGTTATTTGGTCTTGTCATAATAAAAATTACAAGTATCAAACAAAAAATATATCGATATAATATTATTCAATCTTAAAATAATACCAAATTTAATTTTTTTTTTTGAATCGATTCTGGTCTGAAAAAATGACTTTATTGATTAAATATTATCGAACATAATATAAAATTAGTCCATTACCAAAATTTACTTAACAAAATAATTGATAGGTTATATATTTATAACTAAGACAAATTTAGTGTTTGGCACAATCGAATATTATTATTATTTATATTATATTTTGCAACCAATTTGAATCAAATAATTTTTAATTTATTTTTTATTATTTTATAAAAAGATTTACAACAAATAATACAAAGTTTTTTATTTACTGTATTTACAAAATCAACAAAAATCTTGTTTATAAGCTAGGCTAAATAAAAAATGTATCGACAAATTTAATTCCACCATCAACTTAAATTAGGCAAGAATTTCTTCAACTACCGAATTATACCAATACGATTTTTTCTAATAAAGTTAAAAGAGTGAATACTTTTTTTTTTTTATTCAAATTTTTTTTAATAAAGGAATAATTTTTTTTCTTACTTTATGATCCTTATGATTCTGCTTAATGTTTTTCCATTTTATGGCGCATTGTTGGGAAGATTTATTGGGTATCTTAGATGAGACTTCGTTCCAAAGTTTTAATTTCTTAAAACTACAATGACCACGCATATCTACTAGTTCTTTTAGCTCTTTTTTACGTGGTATCAATAAAAAGAGGAGTGAGTCGGTTTCAATGATGCTCCACTTACATGGCGGTGCTTTGGGAGGCTTTTTTCCAGAAGGTTCCGTAATATTGTTTAATTCTAAAAGGAACAAAAAAATTTTTTTTTTAACGAAGAAGTGATTAATTCTTTGAAGTATCCAATTAAATGCAAATTTTATCTATTTAAATGAATAAGATCCTCACCATCATTACCATCATTACCGTTTGAAATATTTGCATGATAGTTCGTCACGTTCTCGTATGAATTTTGAGTAAATGGATCACAGTAATCGAGAACTGAGACTGTCGGGCAAATAGTGGCAGAATTCCGAAAATTAATATTTAGAATAGAAGGAGAAATGTAAAGTGGAGTTGTAAATTCAGGTGCGTCATGGAAATTCATATAACGAATAGAATTAGATATCAGGTTTTCATTTGTAGGAAAAAAGTCGTTTACTTGTATATCCATGCTCAAATTCAAATTTAGGAGAATAATTCTTTTTTTGATAACTATATATATATTTATCTTAGAAGGAGCAGATACATGAGCTAGAAAATAATTTGGAGATATTTATCTCTTTTTTTTTCGTTAAAAAACCAGCGCAGTAATCGGATTTGTCAAATTTGATTGATCTACACCGCTTAAAAGGAAAAAACAAGCTTAATCTAATCCCTCATAACACACAACACATGAAAAAAATACATTTTTCACTCAAGTTGAAAGGCGAAGAAATTTTCAAAGGATTAGCCAAAGGTATCGGATCGGATTCAGTGCCTTGCATGATCAAATGATCAAAAAATCATTCAATGCTTTATTACAGTTAACGAAAGAATATATATTAAAGTTCCAAAACCTACCCTAATTTAGTCTAAGTTGTCGATCATCTTTTATAAATGTATTATTTGAGATAATAAGAGGAAATGCTTTTCAATGAATCATTACAATTTGTAAATTTTCCTTTAACTAACCATTGATGGTTTTTAACTTGATAATCTACATTCACAGTTCCTTAACATTACGGTTTATGGGTTGCGTATAAAATTTTCACATGACTATTATAAAACAAAAGGGGAATTCTCAAGTTATTAGTATTACGTGAATGAATATTGAAAATTATAATACTTACTTTAGAAGTCCAACTTCTTTTCTTAAAAAAAATAATAAAGTAATAAAGACTAAATTAGGATCCATGAGCCTAACGTTTATGAAGAGTATTGGGAGAACGCTGCGACTTCTTCAAATGGAATAAGAAAGAGATTATGAGTTATTAATGTCGACCGCACGTGGTGTTCGGTGGTTTCTTACGGACAAGTTATTATTGGCCCATTCAAAAAATGTTGTTTCAAATTAGTGATGGCTATAAAAATGAATTCAAGTGCCAAAAATTGTTGTTATGTACTCTTTATTTATAGGTGAGATAAAAAAAAATTCACGGTTTTGTGTCTTAGATATGTGCATTTGTATTTTAATGCTACGTTACCAATATGCAATTTTTGATACCAAATTGAATAAAATTTATTATTATTGTCTATAGATTTAGATTTTCTGTATCAAACTAATCCAAATTAATCAGATAACATCGAAACAAGAAATAAATTTCTTCTTCTTTGTTCTCTTGTTGTAAATTACGAATTGTTTTCTTCTTATTTACTCTTCATTTTGATTTTAAAATGTAACCGAAAGTTCCATATCATAAAGTATAAGTTGATGGCTTATTGATGGATGTGCACATTACATGACATTGCATAACATCTTGATTCAAAATTTAAATAATGTGAAAATAAATTTAATTATTTCATGTAAAGAGTATAAAGTAGTGCGATGAAAAAAAAGGAGTGAATTAAAATTAACTGTGTTTCTAAATGAGCGAAAATTATCTCTATCTTTATCTATCAAGAAGAATTATAATTTAAAAAAAAAATTGTATTCATTCCTGAAACGGACATTCGTAATTTAACGGAAAAGAAAAAAAACAATTCCCTTTCCTAGCGCTAATACATTTCTGTGCATATTTAATTATTTTCACAATCTTTCATCACTTTTTTTTTTTTTTTTAATTATGTTGATAAAAATTTGTTTTGAGGTTCGAAACGTTGTATGTTTTAAAAAAACCAAATTTTTTTAAAAGAAAGATTTACTACGGCAAGATCGTTTTACTCCCATAACTCACCTGACCGTTAATATTTTTTTGGCGGATGAACGAAATTGGGAATTTAATAATGGGAATATAAATATTAGGAATGGGGTGATATGATAACGTTGATACATATTGTCAAATGCTGATACTTTGATTCTTCTTCAAACTCCGGTCAAACTATTATTAAAATTCAGCCTCCTTAAAATTTAGTATTATTTTATTTTATTTTTTTCTTTTGACAAGAAACGAAAATAAACCACCTAAAAAAAAAATAAAATAAAATAATCTTTTTTTTTAGTACAACCAACCTCCTTTTGAGAAGCATGAAAAATTTTCATGGTAATTTTGTCAAAAAAAAAAAAAATCCCGCACATACGTAATGAATTACCTGATATAGAATTTTCATTTAATTTTACGTTTCACATATTAATAAATTATTTGAACATCTATTAAACTAAAATTTCAATTAAAGCTGTAGTACAACATTGTGCATATCTTTGGGTTATATATAAAAACAAACAATTATTTTTCCCTATTTAAAAAAATTTCTTTAACACAAATTCTCATTTTTTTTTTTTTTTTTTTCCTTTTCATTTTTTTCATTTCATATTTCCATATTAATAAAAGTTAATTAATTAGCTGTACATTTTAACGAAAATTTCCCCGTCACGTCTTAAAATTTACGTAACAAAGTATAAGTTCAAACTTAAAGAACTTCAATTAATAAATTAAAATAGCGTATTGTAAAAGGAAAGAAAAACTTTTTTTCTAAGGGTGAAATCATCGATATTACTCTTCAAAATGGTATCAACAACAAAGTCACGTATTGTAATATTTTTGATCCTGTTAAACTTTTTATTCACAATATCATTAGTTGAAACAAATCATGGTAGTGATAATATTTCAAAAAACAATGATATTAATTTACGTGGTTCTTCGATAATAGATTCATTAAAATCAAGGTCGGTTCTTATACGGAAGGATTTATTAGTTGATATTACAAAGTCAAAGGTTTCGGATCAAGAACAATATAATGGAAAGAAGAGACATGCTGGTCACGTGCTTCATGAAATGGATAAAAGAGGAGAACATGATAAAGGAAAAGATCATGGAAAAGGTGGAAATGGGAAAGAGCATGAAAAAGGAAAGAAGAATGGTAAAGAACACGAAAAAGAGAAGGATAAGGATAAGAAAGAAAAGGATAATGACAAAGAGCAAGAAAAAGAGAAGGATAAGGATAATAAGGACAAAGATAATGACAAAGAGCAAGAAAACGAGAAGGATAAGGATAATAAGGACAATGATAATGACAAAGAGCAAGAAAAAGAGAAGGATAAGGATAATAAGGACAATGATAATGACAAAGAGCAAGAAAAAGAGAAGGATAAGGATAATAAGGACAATGATAATGACAAAGAGCAAGAAAAAGAGAAGGATAAGGATAAGAATGAGAAGGAGGTTGACAAAGAACAAGAAAATGAGAAGGATAATGATAATATGAACAAGGAGGATGAAGAAAAGGAGAATAATAATAATAATAATGATAATAAGGAGGGAAAAGGAAAGAATGGAGCTGGAAAACAACCAGAGGTTGGAAAGCTACCTGATCCGCTATCTAAATCGCCAACACATATCGCAAAAATTATACCAGAATATCGATCAATTTCTTATGTAGAGAATTACGATTCTCATGTACATAGTGCGAAAAGTTACTATCCTAATGGACCATTAATTTTAAGATTGGTAAATCATATAAATGAAAAATGCGATGAGCCAAAACTAAATCTCAGACTAGTTTATAAGGATAATAAAATATATCCCATCAACTTCAATTATGAAATACCCGATTATAATTTTTGTAAGGATGGAAATGACAAAGATTTAGTTGAAATATATCCACTCAACATCAAATTCTTTTTGGTTCGATATGTACTAACTACCGGAAATGGATCTTATCAAGAAATGGGTTTAATTGTAGATTGGGATGGTAATATACTCAGGTAACTATAAGTGATGGAAGGGAGAAGTAAATATCTGATGTATATAAGTTACTTATTTTTTTTTTTTTAATTATTCATTTTATTTATTCATTTTTTAGAGAATTGAATTTATCCATTATCAATGTGGAAATATCAGAATTGGGTGAGGCGATAGTAAATTCTAATCCCCAACACGGATTTATATGGATTAATCTTATTCAAAATAATACTTTACAATGGACAAACTATTCCGCTTCGTGAGTAATCTTTAAACATAACCAGTAAATCTCGTAAATTTATAATTAATAATCTATTTTTTGTTCCTTTTTGTAGTGGTGACGTAAATCAAGAGACAAAAACATCATATATATCTGGACAGAAATATAAAGTATTTCCTTCATTAGACGGCGGATACGGAATTGTCTTTGCAGGAAAGAATCCAGATGCAGCGGAAAATGTAGAAAAGGTTCCAATAGTACCATTATGGGTGGTTAATGTAATGTTTATAAGACCACATGGAGAAATCACAAAACCATCTGTAATTTATTCGACAACAACGCAAATTAATGATATGAACATAGAAGTGTGTAATTATGCATACGATTTCCCGGGATTGGCGTGTATAATTAAGATACAAAATGTTGATGATGCTATTAGTTACGTTAAAATTCAATTCCTTTCAAACGGAAGTACGAAAAAAACAATCAAAATTGCGGTTGATGAATCTATTGTTGATTATATATATCCTTTACATAATGGTGGATATATCTTTAGCGCAAAATCAAGTAATCTTGAAGTCAATTTTACGGGAAGCATTTATGATAGTGATGGAAAATCGTATAGAGTATGGAATTGCCCTAAAATGTATGGCCAAAGGATTGTTCCACATGGTGTATTTCCAAATAATACCGTTTGGATGTTTTTTGATGGATATTATCAGTCAGATCAAGAAGAAATTAGTTATTCTTCTGACACTTGGACCTATATGACTGCCACCATTAATGACTTACCACAACCTTCTGGTAAGTGTAATATTTAGTCACCCTCCTTTTTTCGTGACAGGTTATTAACTAACCTTTATTTTATAGTCAATGAATATAATAATCTGAATATTAATACAACATATCCAATCATCGATGGTGTTCTAATGGAGAATGAAACTCATATTTTGAGTATTACTTATAATAATCCAATACTATTGTCAACAGGAAATATATCAATATATTATCAAGAAGACAATACAGATAAATTAATCCTAAGGCAAAGTTATCACACAAATAGTCCGAATGTAACTCTTTCACCGGATAAAAAAACCATTATATTAGATATATTCAACCATACATTTGATATTTCAAATAGTAAATATACTGTTGTCATTGATGATGATGCCGTTAAAGATTTAAGTTATGAAGAACCGTTAATGGGAATCAGTTCTAATATATGGCGATTTACTACCGATATTAAACAAGAAGAGTATAAACGTAAGTTATTCCTTCATAATTTATTGAAAATATGTCTTTACTATATTATGATTCTATTCACTCACCCTTTCTTATGTTATAATAGCTGAAGAACAACATGCATTGGTTCGTTTAACAATCGAAGCGTCCAAGAATTTTAGTCAATTGGATTCTAATCAACAATCTGAATTTGTGCAAGATTTATTAAAGGATTTAGCTGAATGTGTACCTGTACTGCCAGATAGAATGAATACAGATCGTCGTAATCAGTGGGATCCCGATGTAAATTCAAGTCAAATATTATTAAAGTTTAAAATTTTACCGGAAAAGTATGAACAAAAGATTAGCGTTGATAATATCATTAAAACATTGGATGAAATGATCCGAAATCGAGAAACCTCTCCTATTTCTCATTATCCATATACTGCTATGTTAGATGATACTTATGGATTTAGATGGAAAAGTATGTTCTAATTTATAAGAAAAGTTATAACGTTAATAATATTAATTTTCAATTTTTTTATTTATTAGAAAGTGTATGGGAAAAATATGAGTTAAAATTATTGGCAGTTGGTGCAACTTTATTCCTACTTGCTATACTGGCTATGTTTTCTTATAAGAAATATGATGACGTTAGTAAACGAACACTATGGTATTTTGGTAAATAATTATATATTAACGGATATATTTTATGCTTATACAGGGAAATTGCTTTGTTGCATTCAAAGTATTGTTGATAGCATTGGACTTTGGATTAGATTTGGCTTTCGTTTTGACTCACTCGAGAGATGTGTATTATTTATATATTCCAAGGTAAATAACGATCTCGTAGAAATTTAATCTTTGCATTTCCTTAAAAAAAAAAATAATAATAATAATCTTTTTCTTTTCTTTTCTAGTTTACTTACGTTCGTTATACCACTTGGACTGAATACTTTATTCACATTTTTCATAGTAATAAGAGAATTATCAAATAATACAAAGTTTTATAAATGGTTTAGAACTTACCATAACGTCGCCGCTATATTTACCGTTTGTTCAATCGGTGATGTGGATTCATTAACCATGATAAATTCTAAACTGGCCGGTTTAGATGCTTTTGATGCTCCTATTGCTCCGTATACTGAAAAACGGATATTAATAGTTAGTATATGGAATTTTATTATTGAAGATACTCCTCAATTAATCATTCAAGTAAGTAAATTAAACCAAGAAAATTTATTAATAATTTTTTTTAAAAAAAAAATTTTAAACGATATTAATTTCTTCTATACGTAGATCATATATATAATATATTCGGTTAATTATACTATCATTCCATTTTTGAATTTGGTTTCGGCTTCTCTGTTATGGATTTGTATATGTTTCGGTCGCTCTTATCATATGTTTTTACGTTATCAAGGACCCCATACGGATCGACAGATCAATTCCACAGATTACACAAACTTAAATAATGATAGTGATGAATATAATGGAAATGGAAATGACAGTTTGACGGACAATACGACTGAAATAAGAAGTGTGGAGTATGTTTTAGCACCTCCAGAAGTAGTATGTCACACTACTACAATTCGAACACCTTCTTGTTGGCTAAGCCCAGAACAAGCACCTGATAATTCAAGACATTTTAATTATAACGGTGGTGGAAGTAATAATAATAATGGCGGGGGACCAAATTATAATAGAAGTGATTATCAACCATTGGAAAGAAGAAGTAGTGTACCTGTTTACAATTCTTCTCTTGGACCATTTGATGATGGAATGGCTATTGGTGTCGCTGGTCCTTCTAATAATAATAGAGCAAGAAGCGGTAGTGGTGGTATTTCTTATGAAATGGTTAGTAGTGAACACAGTAATACAAACGCAAGTACGGGCGGATACGTAAACAATGGATATGAAAGAGTTTATGGCAACGATAAGATTTTAGATTAACTTGGGAGTGATTTATTTATTATGTATTGTAATATAGATATATATATTGGGTGATAATTTATTTAGATAATTCATATAATATTAGTTTTAATTCCTTTTAAAAAAATATGTATTTATTTTATTTGTATTTTATTTAGATATAAAAAAATACTATTTATTTGTATAAATTTATAAAAGAAAATTTTAGTATAAAGAAATAAAAATTGCTTTGAAAACTTGATGAATAATGACAAACTCAAGTTACAGCAAAAGAAATTAAGGTGACAGTATCTTAAATTTTTCCTGGTCATGTCTTCTTTTTAAGTATAGTTATTAATTCAAACCAACTGTTGTGAGATTTAACCTTCTACGAATGCATTTTAAATATATTTTAAAGGTCATTTTTAATAAATCCAAGCTTTTTCTTGACCAAACCTGTTTATAGCCGACCTTTATAATTGCGGGTAAAGCACATTTTTAAGCGCCTATCACTAATGAGAATTACATTATATTATTGCAACTTGGTTGATTAATTTAGAAACATGCGAAAGGGTGGTTGGTTTTTTTTCCTTGATTCTTTTAATGATATATCTTCACGTAAACAACCAATGAGAATGAAATTGATAACGCACTCTGATTGGATATTTTATAACCCCTTTAGTACTTATTTAAATTTTTTTTTTTAAAAAAAAAAGACTCACGTTTTAATATTTAATTCCCATCAAACATTTTTAATAATCGTAATTAGCATCTTTTTTAACCAACAATTTTATTATTTAAAAGGAGGATCAGGTTATTGCTGCAGGTGGTATTTATAGTATTCAGTCGCAGCTGGTAAAATTTGGGACATTATATGAATGAATAATGATTCTACCGGAACATTCCTTCCACCAAGTTTCCAATTGATTGAATGTTGAAAAATATGACAATTCTTGTAATTTCCTTGCAATGCATATTATAAATGGAAAACGGGGACTATGAAAATAGTAAAAAGATTTTTTAACATTATGGAAATTGATATTCTAATTTATTATTTAAAAAAAAAAAGGTTGTAACCAAGAATTTTGATGATGAAATGAATACAATTGTTGTAGTCTACTGATTAATATAAATTTCGATATGTAGAGTTGAAAATTTATTTATGAATAAGTACAATATTACCAATAACGTAATTTTTTAATTCAAAATTACAATCCCATATAATGTTATGTTTATTTCTTTATCATTTGAAATACTTCATAATCATCTATAGAAAATTTATCTTCAGTACCTCTTATATTACATTCATAATAATACTTTTTACAATACATTTTCTCATAATCAGTTGAATCACTTGATGAATATATCTGAAGATCTTCGCCAAAATATGGACCGTAATTCTTGTGAAAACTTAATGCATGATCCACACCCTCAACTTTACTAAAAATCAGATCTTTAATAAAGTTATCCTTATTTTTAGAAGAAAATATAAAACTTTCTTTAGTTTTACCCCATTCGCTCGTAGATTTCCATGTATTAGGATTATATCCTCCCAGAATTTCTCTTGTTCCTTTAACTTTGATGAAAGTAACAGTTTTTGGTTTATAATCACATAAATTATGAAATGCTTTTGGAGTCAAACCATCTCGACTCCCTCTTAATAATAATTTGAATTCATAAGGTAAATATAATTTTTTTACATGTGAAAATCGATTTTCAAGATCTGCATTATCTACCCATTTTGAAATTAAGGAAACAATATTTATATTAATGATCTTTGAATCAAAATTTCCGATTCTAGGTAGTGGAATGT